AAAAAGGGTAATTTTGGATGCCGTCTACGGTACTGGCTTTTGTGGTTTTGGCTTTATTTTTAATACATTGTTGATGATTTAGTGTGTGTTTTAGTATCATTAGTTTTAAAAAAGGAGTTATAGTAAAATCGGTTCGGATGCAGTTACTATAGGGCGGACGTTTGGAAGATAGGTTTTGACGGGAATATAATGATTATCTGTACGCAACAATTAACTATTTCTAACAAAAAACAATTCTGAGCAAAGTTGATAGTGCTGCTATGCTAAAAATGGCATAAAACGGAAAATTAATCAAAACCATTTTTTTAATATTATACATATTTTTCAGTTTTTCCAAAGTTTTTTCCCGGTATTCCAATGTTTTTCCATGGTAAATCTAATCTATTAAGAAAACTCCTAGAAAAATCAAATATCACTCCCTTAAGTACTGTCCAAGTAAGATTTGTGCTATCATAGTAAATCGGAGAAAAATGTCAGATTTAGAAGTTGTTCATAAATTAAACGATCATTGTAAAACTAATACAATCCGCACTCAAATTCATAGTCTTAAATTAGACTTAAACCGAAATTGCATCTAGTTAGTAGTGTTTTTAGATTCAACATTAGTTTTTTAAAATAAATTTGAAAATCCCGAGATAATTATAAGAAAACGAAACAATTTACGTACATGTTTTCATTTAAACTTTGCTTCGAAACTTTTTCTATTAGCAATAGTTAATCGTTACTTACAAATATAAATTAAATTCTCCTCTGTATCCTACCTACCCAACTTCTCACCTACAGCAATGATATATCTATTTCTTGTATAACCATTTTTACTGTATTTAGTGATAGGGTTTTGGAAAACAAAAGCGGGATGTCGATAGCACAATATCAGGACACAGTCGAAACACTAATCGAACATATCATTAGACAATGGCTGATGCCGATGCAAGTAGTCGATCAGTCGAATATCGAAGAAAAATGGTTATTCGACGCGATCGCCAATTTCCTAAGAATCGTCAACTCTAATCATGTAAAATGAACACGATAATATTACTCTTTCGTTATTCGTCGTTTGCTTTATATTGTAAAATTTGGTTGTACAAAGATTTTACCGGGTTGGAATCTAGAAGCTAGATTTATACTGGACAACATTCAACCTGTAATGTTTTACGACAGTTTCACAAATTCTAAATCTTTATCCGAGTTCGGATACCAATCGGATCAATATAATTATATGAGTTCGCATAAAGGTAATACTAGTTACAGAATATCTACGTAACTACTTCAATTGTTAAAACATAATTTATACCTAGGTACGTTGATTTTGCGAATGTTGAACTACACGTTTACCGAGGATATTTTTAAACAAACTCTTAGGGAATACATACACACCGAGTAAGTTATAATACTAATAATATTACAATATATTCGATTTACATAAAATATACCTACCCATTTAAAGGTTTATTAAACGTTAAATATTTTTAATTGGTTAGAATTTACAAATATAACGACGCGGCGAGCTTTTGGAAACTATTAGATGACAACGTGAGACTCAAGTCGACTAAGATACCTAAAAACTTGGATGTATTTCAGATCGTCAACTCGTGGACACGGAATAAAAATTATCCACTGATCACGATAGAAGTTCAGGGTGACGATATAATTTTGAAACAAGTGCGATATGAAAAAGATAAATCCCTGTTAATCATAATACGCGCACAGCAAAATTAAACTGCATTATTTTTTTTATATATACACACTATATGTATATAGTTTCGGTTCAACTACAACCAAACTATACCCACAGATGAATGGATAATACCCGTAACCCTGACTTCGGGTATGGCATATAGCACGACGATTTGGATGAAAAACAGCAAAGAAGTCAGGGTCCCGGGATACAATTTAGCGTCAAATGGTTCGTGGATATTGGCCAATCAACACCAAACAGGTCAAGTAAATAAATCAGTCAGTTATATGGATAGAAATTTCCGAAAGAACGATTTTTATAATAATAAGAGAAAAATGAATACTAAAAATCATTCGTAAAATACGTTACTCTATGTTTTGATATGTTAATTGATCGGAAGCGTTATATTACATTTCCCCCGAGAGAGAATGTCTTTCTGAGGAAACCCTGTATTAAGTAATTTTCTCTAGAAGATCCAACATATGACTTGAAAGTTGTACCAAAAAAAATATGATTTTTTAAATAAAAACGGAAGAAGAATTTGAAGAAGAAGTAGTCTTATTTTGTAAAATAGTGTTCTACGCTTACAAGATATCAATGAAAACGTAACTATAGAATTTTTTCTTTACGAGAAAAATGGAAATTCTATGCAGTTGATGACTTTGGTGCATTGTGGTATGAGAAGCACGAAACCAAATTTGGTATTTAGAAGGAAATATTAAAATACTATATTTTGATATTAGTCTTTTGAGAATTTCACAACAAAATGATTGTAAGGATATATATCAGAAAGCACATTGGACTTCGGTAATAAAACAATTACTAAAAATTTGCCATACTTAAAGATGTAAGCTATTTAAGCGTAGCATTATAAATATGTATGTGTAAGATAAATGTTTTTTATCGAAATTCATTAGGTAACTTCAGCACTACTGCAGCCATAAGATTAATATTAGGGGACTATTTAAGGTTACACTTCCAAATGCGAAAATAATCTTATTAGGAATAAATGTTTAATATAAGTTTTTGTATTTTCTAAAAATTTGGATTTTCATATATCATAATAAAATACTCTTCTTTTCGGAATTTTGATTCCTGGTTAAGATTTCTCAATCCCAGTTCAATTTTATCGATCTCAGAATTTTAATAAATCGTTCTATTTTATAAATATGTATAATACTACAATGATTACATTATAATATTTACAAGAATTTAAAATAATTGATTATACGTTTTTCATTTTTTTCTTATTCCAGGTTACTATAGAGTTATATACCGTGACAACTTATTAGGTAGGATATTGCACGAGTTCAAAACGGGCAATTCATTCGATCCGTACACCGTAGGACACGTGGTTGGAGATATTTTCGAAGGAGCGTTAACTGGCATAATAAAATTCAGTGATGGGCTGGAATTTTTCACAGAATTTATTGAAAACGTTGGTCCATATTATGGACACTGGAATCCTATTATAAACGCATTCAATAAAATAGAGATGGTATTAAAAGACACTGGAGAACACGACTCGTATTTGGTATTTAATATTCCCCATTAAAATAATGCATATTAAGTATCAGGTAGAAAAAGTTCGTGTTTGTATGGCCAGACGCAACGAAGAAGAACGTCTCACATTTTCTATAACTTTTGATTTATTTTTTTTTAGATGAGTAGGTATGTAGATTTTTCATAGGCGATGCTGTATAAAAATGCGAACTTTTTCGTAGCAGCAAATGACATATAGTATAGGTATTCAGTGTGTTTCATTGAAATAATAACAGGAATTATTCAATTTCTGTTCATTGATCTCAGATTAAAATGGAATTTTTTGAAAATCCTTATCATTTGGAGTGCTGTGATTCATAGCGTGACTACAGATTAAACATAATAGATGATAAATCATACAAATTTTAAAATTATAGCAAACAATTCAAAAAAAAAAAATAAGGAAATTTTAAGACTACATCTAGTCAAATTTCTCAAATTAAAAAAAATTTTTAAAAATCTATTCTCAATAATTTTAGTAAATTATTAGTTAAATTTGTACTTTAAGTTTCCTCCCTAAAAAAAAACCACGTTACTTCCAATGTCCAATCATCGTGGAATATTGTACATTGTACATAGGATTTACCAATGTATGAATAATATTTTTTTTAAATAAAAATCAAACCTACGTATTATTATACTTATATTTCTCAACTTAAATAAAATACCTACTAAATTATATTTTAAATTTTCTTTTGAAATCCCAAATACCGAAATATAATTTTTTAACATATATTATTCAAAATAATAACTTCAATATTAATAATATAATCATAACTCGCCCCAATTTAATTTTAGCTATTTAAAATTTATTATAATAATAAATAATTTCATTATGAATAACAACATATCATATATATTTAATTGTGTATCAAGAATATTCCATAAAAACCAAAATATTATTCATATTCTTTTATAATAACTGTCATTCTGTTAAATACAAATATTTTACCATTTTAAAGACTTACATATCAATAGTAGCTGAAATAGCGTACAATGTATTCAATAAAGCAAAAGTAAATAACGCCGACCTGATATTCGGCATGATAGAAATGTTGTGTTTTGCGGGTCGAGCGGAACTAGACGAATATGTGTTAAAGGTTAAAGAGGATTATGAAACGTGGAAGAATGGAACAAACACGAATCCGTAAGTCGATGTATACCCATTCAAATTTGGTATTTTGCACGAATAATAAATTTGACTTTATTCGATTCTCAATTTAGTTTCAGGCCTAATTATCGTAGAGCCGCATACTGTACAATACTGCAATACGCTACTGTAGAAGATCATAGATTTTTCATAAAACAATATCTACATTCCAAATGGACGCCAGAGAGAAAAATCCTAGCCAAAAGTTTTTCTTGTTCACGAAACACGCAGTTTTTATCTTGGTAAACATTCCAATAGACGTATATACCATGTTTAAACTAATAGATAAATGTATAATATCAATTTTATCATAATATCTTCGACAGGATATTGACGTTTGATGGATTACATTCCGAGGACCTATCCGACGTTTGGGTTTCGATACTAGATAACCCAACATCTGGCCCGTTCGTGTTTTACTTTTTTCAGAACAATTGGGAAAAATTATACGAAAAGTAAGTTTTAAATAATAATTTTTTATAAGTACTTAATTTCCAATATAAAGGTATGTTAAAATATAGTTATGCAGATGTCAATATTAACCTGCTGAGTACAATGTTGCACGCGGCGATTCGTGGTTTAAACACTGACATCGATCTTGAAATGCTACAGATGTTTACCGAAAAACATTTTAGCGACATCAGTGGAAAAAAAAAACACCCAGCACTGCTGGAGGTTTTGTACTTGGAGGAAGAGATACTAAAACAAAAGATCTGGTGGCGGAAAAAATATGAAGTGGTGATCGGCAATTGGCTATGGCATGCAATCATGAACTATTCCAAATCCATTCATAGAAAACCAATCATAAATGTCAACATATCTGAAACCGACCGTAATGACAGCGTTACGAATACAAGCACGNATGGTGGATATGAAATTGGACCAGTGGCGGTGGTAGAAAACACTAATCCAGCAAGAAGTACCAAGCCTACGGAAGTGGTGAATTCAAATAACAACTTAAACAAAACTGGCTTCAAATCTTTGACGGAATCGAATCCAAATCTGACGGAAACCAACGAAAATGAAACTGCATAGTAGATCTACCGTTACCGATTTTAGAAACTGCTCTAATGAAAAATTAAAACAGAGAAAAATAATAAAAACAGGACGAAAAACACGAATATCAAAAGGTGTACAAAAAAAAAAAAAAAAAAAATGATCTTTTGTTAACACTATTCTAATATTAATCTTTAACGGAAAAATACATGTAGTTCTATAGGCTATACTGAAATTACCGATCCCTATTAAATAATTTAGGTAAACTAATTTAATTATAGTTTTTGACATTTATAATAATTTGAATGGGAAGATTAGTATTGCTTTTATGATTATTATATGGAATTAGTTTGTTAGTTTATCTTTAGTACCAAACTATGGTTTACTATACTGTGCATTTGATATCTATCAAAATATTTGTATACAACAATAATAATGATAATAACAATAATAATTTTAAATATTTATTAATGAGATTGTTATAACTATAATAAAGTATCTCTCTAGTCATAGTTCCTTTGAGAAAAAATGTAGAAAATTTGTTTACAGAAAAAAAAAAAATTGTAATATTTTACTCGTATATTTCGTACATTTTCCTGTTTTTCCTCCGTTTTTTTTTCGGGTTTTCAGATTTGATGAGAAAACTTCTGAGAAAATCGAAAAACGACCTCCTCAAAGCTCCTCCCCGGTCCGATTTCCTTTTGTTGTTACTGTTATTAATCTTTTAGTTATAGGTAAACATAGTATAAACGTATATTATTTTATAAGAATATAGTCAGTCGACTACGCCTAGTGTGTAGGTGGCTCCGGGAATATTGTACCACCACGACACCCGTGAGTTAGCCGGAGAGTCAGTCGTTTGACCACTGTGAAAACTATATGCCGTTCCGATGTCCAATTATATAATTCGACTCATATTAATATTATATCGGCACACAAAATCAAATTCATTTTTTGACCATCAAAGCAGTTTTTTATAACAATTGAGAAAACCAAGGAAAACTTAGAAAAAACGGGAAAATATACGTACATGTATAAAAGAAACTTCGTTCCAAATCATTTTTCGTTTCGTAAAAATATAAATTGAATTCTCCTCTGTATTCTACTTTCATAATTTCCTACTGAAAACTGAGGCCCTCTCATCATGCGAAGTATGTTCGTATTTTTTTAGTACTCAATCTTAATATGTCAAAAAAAAATTTAATCTTGTTCGTTTACCTAGAATTAAATTAGTTCAAACTAAAAGGCTGAAAAAAGAAAAGTTTGTTTCTCATTACGATACCTTATGGCGATTATAGGAATGATAATTTAATAAATTTGGGTTTGATGTATAAAAAATGTCTATCCTCTTTATAAAGAATCATCGAGTTGCAATTGCAAAAATGAATACATTGTCTTGAAAAAATTGAAGAGAAAACACAATGTAAATCATGAAATTAAAAAAATCAAAAATACGTCAGTGTCAACATCATTGGAGTATAGGGTATAATAACATCGATTTGAAAAAATGACAACGGTTTAAAACAATCCACAATATGAACATAAAAATACAAATTGAAATCCATAATTATTTAAATTTGCTGTAATAGAAACTAGTGAAGCAAATTATTGGATCATAAATGTGTAATGTGGAACAAGCGAAGCACGTGGTTCAGTCGTCGATTAATCCATAGTAATATAATGTGTGATCCTGTAGGCGAATATTTTCGAGATTCAACCCGCTCACAATAAATCTAAATCTTGCCACTGATCGGACGAATCTGGTGAATGGCTGCATTATTGAAAAACGTATCTAAACGGTACTAATTAATTATATTTTATTTAATAATTATCATTAGAATCGTGCGCTGTTTAAATACAGCTGCTCCCGCTTGACAAAATGTGTGTTTGGCCGGCCACGGCGATGCGGTGCAAGAGGGGCGGCAACAGTGGTAGTCGCGTGGTGTCTTTCGCGGCGGTCGTGTTTTTTTACGACGATAGCGTGATAATTATTGTAATAGTTCCGAAACGATTGAGCTCACCCCGGAGAACAACATGCGATGACGACCGAGGATCCCAGATTTCGTTTTGATTTGTTTTTCTGATTTTCGGCAGTTCGAAGAGTAACTAAACAAAAAGTAATAATAACAATAATAATAAAACACCGCCGGAAACCGTAATGGCGACGGTCCAGGCCCGGCACCGGGGGCACAACATACCCGACGGCGGCATGACAACGTTCAACGAGATCGAGTACGACCGGGAGGGCGGAGTGTTCCTGAACCGGATCAGACTTATCCTGTTGAGCGTCATTGTATTCCTGTTGATCGTCTTCTCGGTGTTCGTTGGCCGGTACACGGCACAACTGCAATTCCGACAGGTAAACATCACGGTAGAGGCGCCAACGCCGATTTCAACTCCGGCGGTCGTAAATACATAGATCCTGGCTATCTAACGTCCGATTATATGTATATATATATATATATATATAAATATTATATACTTTAACAGTAATTTATATGTAACGCGTTATTTTACTAACCAACTAGTTACTCAACGACATTCCTTAATATGCTCGTGTATGAATTTATACGAATACACGGTTTCACTAGTTAATACATAGAATGCCAATTGGATTTTCGCTTATTCATATCGTTACAAGCCATAACCGGGATCGTAGCAGATAACATGCGATATTTGTCGCCGTTATCATTCTATATACCAGGATAATTATTATTA